AGGAAAAACGCGATCCACTTTGCGTCGCGACTATTCGTGCAACTAAGCCTCTTCGCACGCTTTGTCCTTTGCTCGCTTCCGACTTCCCCTACCTGCTTGCGGTACCGCTCCATCTATGTGACGCTGGCTTGGCTTCAACGCTTGAGGCAAAAACAACGACCAAACAGACGTAGATGATAGCCGCCGCTAGCTCTGCACTGCCCCATCTGGCGCATCGCAAAAGCATGTCTGTGGTAATGAGAACAGGTGGTTAAGGGGTAGGGTTTGGACTGCAATGCATTTTTCGAACGCGCCTCGCTCTTGTCGCTGAACAGTGAGGGGGCACACAGGGACGCCCGGTCAACCCAAAGGTCTGAGGTTGCGGGCCACTAAGCAGCATGGCATGGGAGTTATCGCGCTCACACTTCGCCCTCATCCACGAAACTCGTGTCCTGTCCCTTCATCAGGGCCATACGCTGCCGCCGCGGGTGTGTTATGGTTTTCGATGTGCCTTGAGGATATTGAGCAAAACCTCCTGCCCCCTCGTGCTTTTTTTGTTCCTGCTCCAGCTTCAGAGACGAGCTTCCATGCACCACGAGTGGGACGAGCAAGGCCTCTTGCCAAGTGACGTTGTCGCACCACTTGCCTACGATGTGCACCTGGCGCTCGCGGGACCTCCCGATTTGGCCACAAAGGGAATGGTCGATGTCACTATCGTGGTAAAGCGGCCCACGGCAGTCGTCCGGCTGCATTCAGTCGGATTGAATATAAACTCAGCAAGCGTAGGGTTTCCAGATGGTACATTTACCGCAACGGAAATATATTCTACCTCTCCGCAAATAGTCGCCATCGACATAAAATTACCCTTGTCGATTGGTCAGTACATCGTACGTCTCTCCTTTTCAGGAAGAATAGGGACAATAGGCCATCCATTACGCATGCATGTGTTTTCATTTTTTCGGGCATTTTTCACAGTTTAATGAATGTAAGGGACGTACATCTACCTTTCGGAGAGTCGAAGCTAGCCGTAGGGGAAGAATATGCCCTGTATTCACTGCCAAAACTGGATATCATCTGTTTGCCGCAGGTGCACGGCTTGGGAATGGAGGGCTGGGGGGCGATTACCATCTTAAAAGACTACCTCCTCGTCTCTCCCACCACTAGCTTCGTCAGAAAAGGACGGGTCGCCCGTCTTCTTGGCCATGAGATAGTGCATCAATGGCTGGGAAACCTGGTGACTCCCGGGACGATGGGAGAGTTATGGCTGAAGGAGTCAGCGGCACGCTTTTTTGAATTCATAGCTCTGGAGGCCTTGAATCCTTTGAATTGGCACGTATGAGGCAATTTCATAAATGACGTTATGCTCGCCGCCATGCTTGCAGATGCAAACTCTGATTCTCACCCACTCCGAGAAAAGCACCATGGGGACCTCAGAGCCGTCGTCAAGTCGTTCGACGTCATCGCCTTTGGTAAAGGGGCAGCATTATTGAGAATGCTGGCGCCACATGTGCGTATGTCTACATTTCTGAGGGGAATTCAGCGCTTTGTTCTTCGATACCAGTACGGGTGCATGACCGAGGCAGATCTGTGGGGTGCCATTGACGATGAGGTATCAGCGATCCCAGAGGCAGATGGCCTTCTGAGAGCGCACGGAGTACAAGAAGACCCCCTAAGCGGGAGTAATTATGCATAAGTGGATGAGAGAGATGATAGCAAACGTCAATGGCGCTTGAAAGTTCGGGACCACGACTTATCAAGCCAGAAGGGCACCCCTTTCGAGCTGGCCGAAGACACGCCTACGCGAAGGACAGATAGAGTGCACGTACACGATCTCATGAGGCCATGGACCCGTCGTGTTGGCTTCCCAGCCTTGCATGTGCGGGCAGACTATGTCAGCGAAAACGATTCTTACAGCAGCCTCCATATGCATTTTTCTCAGAGACCTTTCAGCAGGTCGCCGCGTAATATGTGCGATTGGAGACACGATGAGGAGTCACTCCAGATCCCCTTCGCCTTCGCGTCGGTCGAAGCCTTATTGGTGGATCAAAAGAAAGGTGTGGGATGCTTACAGACAGCAAGGTTTTGAGTATCTTTGTTGGAGAGGGCAAGTGTCAGGAGGTTTTCGTGGCCGGGAATGTGGAAAGTTTTAGTTCGATGGAGGCCTGTTGCAGGACTTCCTTTTCGCATCACTCTGATCCCATTGCCAGGAGAGGTATGACAAGCGTGTCGCGATTAGCACTGTGGGCAGTGGTGAACGTTCAGCACGCGGGTTTTCATACCACAATCTACGACAATAAGGAGGCTTGGAACCTGGTGCTTGTTGCGATAGAAGCAAATCAACTTCAGGAATTAGAGCGAATGGGTATAGTGTGCGATCTCCTCTTACAAAGACAAACACTACTGTGTAAGGAGAAGGGGTCCATTGAGCAAGGAGAAGTGAAAATGTTGCTGACAAGATTGACCGATGTAGTGCAAAGGTTTGAAATTTGGAAGGGGGAAAGTCCAGCGTACTGGAATGGCCGATTATTTTTACATGAAATGGAGTATTCTACAATATTTGATGAGGCTGGAGGTTTGTGCGAGATGAGGGATGTCTAGAGGGAAAAGACAGTTTGGCCCGAGCAACATTTGGAGCGAAGGGGACCTGTAGTTACGGGACGTGGAATGGAAAAGGACCGGGACGGCGTACTACTACAATCAAGGAGGGGATTGCCGACAAAGGTCTAAAAAAAGGTCAGGAGCCAAGGCAACGTGACGGATGTTTTGCCGGATGAGGGTGCAGACGGTCAACCTCCAAGGGGGGATCGAAAGAGGACGCTGCAGCTTAGATTGAGTTTTTTGCTCTCGCGTATCGATGAGGACCGCCGTTGGGCGGAAAGTAAGACAAATGATAATCCACCTCTTGTCGAATATGTGACTAGATTTTGCTCTTTGACGAGAAGAGTCCAAAAGCTTGAATTAGATTTGTGTACTGCATTGCACAACAATTTCATCGAAACGACAAGACAAAATCGTCACACCTAGAGGCATCTAGAGGGTGGTAGGAGGCAATGCGCAAGGCTTCACTAAAATGCCTTAACAAATGCAGACTTTGTACACGAGCATATCTATAAATAATGACTGAGGCAATAACGGAGACTTTTTTTCCGAATGAAAGAAGAAGGACAGGTTAAAATACCAACCTAGAAAAGCCTTTTCAGGAAGGCAACACTATCTAACTTTTAACAGTAACTATACTGCGAGATATGCTCTTACATAGTGATATCCAATTTTTTCTTTGGAAAGGATGAGTCGTGTGGTGATGTGTACAAGGTACATGGTAAGGTCCGAGGACTTCATTAACAATGATGTACAAAGTGATTTTCCCCACGAAATGCACTTTGTATGACAGAGAATTGCTCATAGACCTTTTGAGTATCTTAGTTTCTTAATAGAGGCAAATTCTGGAGCTCTACTTCTCATCGAAAAGGTAACTGGGTCCTTGCTCGTTTTTTAAGCCATGGGTGGTGACAGGATACCATCCGTAATCAGTTCATCCTTAGTGGGACGCTCTCGCAATGACTTAGCCACGGCGTCCTTTTTCAGACACTTTTCTAGGTTATGAGCCGCAGGAAGTAAGGACGGGGAAATATTGCTTCCAGGGGAATGCACGCCCTTGTCATGGAGGGATTCGGCATCCGGCCGTGAGGCAAGTTGGAGCGCTATCGCATCTTTGACCATGGCCTTTTGCAAAGTCCTGGCTTTGCCTTGCAGAGCAGGTGCAATGCTATTGGGACTTAAAAGTCCACGTTCTTGCATATCGGCCTCAGTCGGGCGGTTCGTAAGAAAAGTCGGTTCGAGAGACATGTTGAGGTGTGGTATCACTTCCTGATTTGGCATTGTAAGAAGAATGCGAATAAATATTATGCGAGGTGATAAAGTCGCCGCCGCGAGATCGCTTCGGCAGAAAATTAACATTTTATGCACATCAAAAAGCGTGCGATGAAAGTGTTTCACGTAGTGGACAGGGACGTTGATTTTAGAGACTCATATTTCTGACGTCCCTCTTGTGCCAGTTTGAATTTCCGTTAACTTCTCTTGCTCGGTGGATATCGTGGCCCGTCGCGTAGCATCTAATACAATCTCGAATGTGGCAAAACAAGACCCGCAAAGACTGTGGACCAAATCAGACTCATTGTTTGTAGCGGTTAATGGCGGGCTTTAACAATACTCACCCGTGCATAAAAGCAGGAGGGGTAGATATGTTACAATTAAGATTTGATTGACGGATATATTTTGGAAACGTTGCATGCGACTGCAAGCAAAATGTTAGATTGCCATTTCAATATCTATATGCTTTTTACATATTTTATCTTTGTAAAAACTTTTGCTTCAAAACAGTATCGCATGGTTATTTTTTCACAAGTCTATTCGAAGCGCACGCGTCGAACAGGCTCTTTGGCACATGTATCACCCGAATTTATTTCGCGAATTTTGTCTGCCCCGTGTGCAAAATTAAAATCGGCAAGACTTAAGACACCGCGTGCATCATGGACAGTTTCACTATTTTGCCGACCGCTACCGGTCTCAGGGGTGGAGGTAGTTTCAACAGGAGTGATAATTGCAGCACGGCTCAACTTTACGGCTGATGGAGAAGGGTTGACCTCCACCACACGGAGAGATCGCAATAAAATATTCATCTTCTTCGCATCCGGTGCCCCAGTACCACTGTTTGTACAGCCCGACAGTTTTGAGCGGCCGCTCTTCTGACCGCTTCGAAAATGCGCACTTCCCGTGCCTCGCTTTGAAGTTTTACGTTTCGACATTGCCTTCGTGGTGGGGACTGGGCTGACATCTGTAAATTCATTTCGATCGACCAGATTTTGTTGTATTCCGTAGCTCTCTGGTTCCCAAGACCCATGCCCCATGACCGAGAGTGAAGAAGATGAGGACGACTCTAGTATATCGCTTTCTGAACGTCTTTCCAGAGGCAAGGGTGCTTCCGAGTCGCTGTCTGGCACGCTATCCTCGTCTTGCTCCTCATCCGAGTCATCCCCCTGGGTATTTATCTCGAATTGAGGCCCTCCTAGTCTTCCTGTCGCCAAGGTCTCCATGGCTTCTTCCACCGTGTCTTGCATGACAAGCCGTTCAACATGCACCGATGCCTGCGCTCCCATCCTGTAGGCCCTTGATACCACTTGGTTCTGCAAATTTTCGTCCCAAATTTGGTCCATGAGGAAAACATGTGTCGCCAAACTCAGGTCCAGGCCATGGCTTCCCTCTTTTCCAATCAGAAGAACCTGTAAACCTTCGTCGCCATGACTCGCAAAAGTGGCCTTGAATCTCGAGAGATCAGCAAGCCTCGTTTTATCGTAGAATTTCCCCACGCGGAAACCGTGGTTCTCCAGCGCCACTTTCAGTCCATTTAGATACACTCGAAATTGGCTGAAGACGACAGCCTTCAAGGGGAGACTGTGGTCAGGCGACGAAGGATTGCTTGACTGGTTCTCGAGATAGGCGCGCAAATGAGTTATCATATGCCAAGCTTTGCTAACTACTTGCCATGAGCCGTCGTCAGCATTGCCGTCCATCTTTTCAGAGAAGTGTTCCTCATTGACATCAGTGTGGTGGCTCACCCGGCCAACCGTACTGTTAGGAGGGGGCTCCATCTTCTCTGAAGTCAGAGGCCCGCGACCAGCACCCAATGTACCATGTCCAATTAGTCCCCGACTCTCCTTTCCTCCGACCTGATTTTCGCCTCGTTCATCTGCTTTCTTGCCAGTGTCAAGGAACCTGGACGTCACGTGGTAATTTATTTGCGAAGGTCCTGGATCGAAGTGATAAGGCACAGATGATGGCGACTGCACAGACACAGTAGAGGAAGTCGTGTCAACATTGACAATATTACCAGAACCCTTGTGATTTGCAACGTCCTCGTCCAGAGGTTTATCCACCCGGTCCGGCAGCACCACTAAATCTTCCTCGTGCCAGTGCACTGACAGGCCTGGCTGCAGCAATTGAAAGGCATCCACCGAAAATGTGCATCCGCAGGCCGGACACAAATTGTTTTTCCCTTTCATACACTGGCAACAAAGCAAATGCAAACACGGGGTCACCATGAGGATGATCAAAAAAGTCCCGCACGCATCGCAGGGAGTGTTCACGTACGCCCTGAGGCGGTTCAAAAAAGCGGCCACCCGCGCCACACCGACCGAGACTGCCTCCTCATCCTCCTCTTCCTCCACGGCCGTCCGCTCCCTTCCTCGGCGGCGAGCCTCCTGAAACTCTAAGAACAACCGCCGCGCCAACTGAAGGGTCATGACGATGGATTGCTGCTCGATAGACACGACCTGAGCACCACCTCCACAACAAGCCAGGCGCAAGTTACCGAGCAGGGTGTTCGCCGACACCCGATTGATCGGGTTCAACATGCTGTCCGGATGGAGCGCCCCTGGTGCGTGGGTGCCCCCTACCATGTCAGTCGTGACCAGGTTTGCGTGGACCAACGACACCAGAGTGTTGTAGGTGGTGGCTTCCAAACGCGACATGCGCAAGCGTGTCACTCCCCAGTGTGGAGCCGGGATCTCAGGGATGCTTTCTTTTGTATGCCGCACCATAATTCGTCGCAAGAGTTCGACCAAGCGGTTCCGACGCAATTCGGAAGTCGCTGCGCCTGCCCCTCGTCCACTTATGAGCTTGTACCAGTACTCGTTGTGCGAGGAGCCGTACGGTGCTTGGCGCAGGAAAGAGAGGAGGGCTTGCAGGGAGGCCAGATCCGCGGCATCGTGCCGATGGGGCGTTCCTGTCATCACCCAGCGGCGTTCTGCTTCCAAGCGCTTCGACATGAGGCCCTCGTTGGTGATGGCCACTGAGCCTAGGGAGTGCCCTTCGTCCACAAGCACTCGCAGCCAGCGCACGCCTAGAAGGGGACTGAGCCGTCGATTGTCAAGATCCCCTTCCTCTGCCTCTGTCCCCTCCAGGTCACCCGCGTACCGTGGAGGTATGCTATCCATCATGTGCGTCGGCCCGCCACTGATCCACTCCTGCCTGAGCCGCTCCCTCGTCACGACCACGACCTTGTACAAAGCCAAGGGCTCCGGTGGGGGCAAGGCCCGCCAGCCCCCGGTTCCCATCCCCGTGGCATGGTCATAGAAGACTTGGCCCTCCCCCAACGCCCACCCTTCTGCGTGCCTCTCGATCTGTTCTCTCCAGTGCCCCATCAGAGGGCCCGGGCAGATGATCAAGGTCGCTCCTGACGGGCGCAAAAGTCGCGGATCCAGGTCTCGACGGCGGTGAGTGGAGCGACACCGACGGCCCTCTCGTTCCATCCCACCTGTATCGCATACTATGTCAGCAGTCCGTCGCCGGTGCCACCGACGGGCGTTGTGTCCCATCACCATCTCCATGCCTCCCTCCTCCTCAACCGGCCCGGGCAACCTTCCCGCCGTCTTCAGGATCAAGGCCAAGGCCGTGACCGTCTTACCCAGCCCTGGCTCGTCACACAGGAAGCCTCCCCGCACATCGGTCACCAGAGGCACCTCCTTTTTGTCAAAAAATAGATCCCCCGTCAACATATTTACATACATGAGCCTCCTCCTGTCCTCCGGCTTTCTCTGATCTGCATGCTCTCCTTCCCAACTCGCGTCCTCCTCCACGAGCAACGCTTCCCATGCCGGGTCCGGGTATTGCCGGGCCGTCCAGGACGCATTCTCTCTCTGCCACATCCACGTCAGGTCCCGCAGTTGATGGGCAAACAAGCGTGCCTTCAGGCCGGGCACGATGCTGGCGGTGGCTGCTCTCATATAGCGGCAGGTGTCGCCCAGGGCGTGCAAGGCCACAGAGTCGAAGAAGGAGAAGACAAGGCCGAGCAGGTCGTCAGCTAGCACGGTAATGCTTGCTCTCGATTGCTTTGAGGAACTTCCGTTTGGGGAGAGCAGGTGGCGCCTCTCGGGGGCCCGCAGTGGCTGTTGCTCGCGTTGTTGCTGCCGCTGCCAACATCCAGTACCGGCATACCCCGGCGTGGACTGAGGGGCTCTTGAAGCTTCTTCGAAAATTTGTGCCAAACGCCCGCGCCCGTTTTCCTCATGCCTGAGCCTGCTATGCTCGTTTTGCTGGCTCGCTGGCACGCTTGCACTCCCCGAGGCCCTAAATTGCGATGTGCGGAGAAGATTACAAAGTGCGAGAAGCTTTGGCACGTATTTGCGGCGTTGTCTTACGCAAAGGTGGGGAGAAGCATGGTTTATACAAAGCCGCACAGTGACGCTCAAACTGAGCGTCATGGTCAGCGGGGACGATCGCCCAAGTAGTTCAGCCCGAGGTCTAATAACTTTCCTCGCCATTACTTTCCACGGCCCGAGAGATACCAGGGACTTGCTCGACAAGTCGTGCACCAAATCGCAAACTTTGCAGCTTCGAAGCACAAGCACGCATCCTCTTTTGAGCTTTCCATCCATAAGTCTTAATGTCCGCCGTGGCAAACCCTCGGGTTCGCTCTCTTGGGAGTCCTGACCAGTATCCTCGACGTCGCCCGCTTTCTTACACGTCTTTTCTCCGGCAGTACCCCATTCACAAGTATCACCCCTCTTGACCAGGTTGGTCAAGGATATAGCTGAGGGACAAGAAGGGCGATGGCCGAAAACGTCCGTTGCTCCGACACGAACCTCAGTCAGTACTGAACCTAGGCTGAACCACGACCATTGCTCCTCCGACGGTAAGGCAAAAACCCTCTTTTGACCACGTTTCGCGGTTGGACCAGCAGCATATGATGAAGTGAACTCGGCAAGACTCGTGCTGCTCGTGCTTGCCTCCATGCTCCTCCAACCTGTAGGAAGTAGCGAGGGGTATGGTTTACTGTGTAAGCAGCCACGGGCTCGGACAAGCGCTTATCTCAGTGGTAACATGTCCCTGTTTGATACATATATATATATATAAGTAGCCACTAAGTAGTCAAATACGGCCCCAAGACCTACGCGTGTTTTCTTTTGTTGACGTAGCGAGTGACAGCAAGTCTCGAGTCCTGTCGCTGGTTTCACTCGCTCGTCGATCACTTATCTGCCTTTCCACTTCCACCTCCCCTGTCTCTATACCAAGCATCTGCCCTCGTGATTGCCAAATAGTCCATCCCATGAGTCTTATGGCAACTGAGGCGGCAATTAATTGTATCTAACAACACTTTGTTGGTTCGCAGACAAAGCCAAGTAGATGGCGGGTGGTTTCGAGTCCTTGGGCCTCGGGGAGGAGCTCATTCAGGTACGCAACAAGCTAGCCCTCATAAAACCTGGATTTTTAAAAGCATTCGGGGCCACTGACAAGAATGTCTTGATTCTTCGCTCATTTCATCGTTTCCATTACTCCATTTGACCCCTCTTCTGGAGGCCATCGAGGGCGACTTGAATTGGTTGTTGCCAACGGATGTGCAAGACGAGGCAATCCCCTTGATTTTGGGGGGGGGGGACGTAATGGCAGCGGCGGAGACGGGGAGCGGTAAAACTGCTGCTTTCGCCCTTCCGGTACTGCAGCTGGTGATGGAGACAAAACGCCGCGAGGCCGGGGGGAAGAGTGGCACAACGTGTGAGGGGGAGGCCAAGAACGAAAGAGACTGGCGGCTCAGCGGCGTCGACAGGGATGGAATGCTCGGCATCGAAGGGGTGGACGGCAGCAAGGCCTTCGTCACCACCTCCCGCTGGGTAGGAGGACGGTCGACACTGGGTGTGTGCAAAGGGAAGGCTTATTTTGAAGCCACGCTACTGGAAGAGGGAAATCAGGGTGTTGGCAGGGTGGGCTGGTCGACAGCACGTGCAAATTACAATTTAGGGACAGACAAGTACGGTTTCGGTTACGGTGGAACAGGTAAAAAAGCCACGAAGGACGCTTCGAAACTTACGGGGAAATCTTTAAGAAAGGTGACGTGATCGGCAGCTTTTTGGACCTAGAGAAGGGCATAGTAGGATTCAGCAAGAATGGAGCCTACCTTGGGGATGCCTTTGTGATGGAAGAGAGCTTGAAAGGACTCGCATGGTTCCCAGCTGTCGCTCTGAAAGAAGCCCGGATACAAATGAATTTCACTGGGCCTTTCCGGCACCCTGTGCCCACGGAACGGGGCTTTCTTGGCGTCGCGGAGCTCCCCCTTGACGGCGTGCTCAAGCCCGACTTCAGCAAACACAGCGCCAGTGGGGCGGGGAGTGGGGGAGGAAAAGGGGGCGGAAACAGCCTTGGCAGCCCTTTTGCCATCATCATTGAGCCGGCGCGGGATCTGGCCGAGCAGGTCTATTCCTGCATCTGCGATTACTCCCGGCACGTGGAGGGAGTGGACATAGCCCTGGTGATGGGAGGGAACGACCAGCGTGAGACCAAGGCAGGTCTGCGGAGCGGCTGCGATATAGTGGTGGGGACGATCGGAAAATTAATGGACTTTATGAAGCGCGGTCTTTTGAACATGGATCGGGCCCGTTTTTTGATCTTGGACGAGGCAGATCGCTTCCTGGAGGCTGGGGAGAGAGCCGACGTTATGACTATCTACCAGCGCCTTCCCAAAGGCGGTGTCGGGGACCAGCGCCTGCAGGTCTGTTTTTTCTCAGCTACCTTGCATTCACCGGAGATCACCGAGCTGGCAAAGGCGATTTGCGACAGACCTACATGGGTGGACCTGAAAGGGAAGGACAGTGTGCCCGAGACCGTGCACCACGTGGTGGTGGAAATGGACCCAGAAAACTCGGCTCTCCAAACTCTTCTGCACCCGACCTCCTCCCCGGCCGCACAGCATGTCGTAACTGATAATGTACACGCTGCCTCGAGCCTCTCTCAGGATCCGGGAGACGTTGAGCGGCGCTCGGATATGATCAAACGCCTGAAGCCCCTTGTCCTCCTGAAAATCATTGAAGCTTACGACATGGAGCAATGCATTATATTTTGCAGAACGAACCTCGACTGCAACAATCTCGAGCAGTTCTTGAACTTCGCAGGAGGGGGTCAGATGTTTAAAGGTAAAGTGGAAAAGGGAAAGGAAAACATCTACTCGTGCTGTGTCTTGGCAGGCATGCGGTCCATGGACGAGCGGCGAAGGAATCTGCAAGCATTTAAAGACGGGGATGTTCGTTTTCTAATCTGCACCGATGTAGCCGCGCGTGGGATAGATATCCAAAATTTACCTTTCGTAATCAACTACACGCTGCCCGATGCCGTGGAGAACTACATTCACCGGGTGGGCCGCGTGGGGAGGGCAGACTGCTTGGGTTTGGCAATTTCGCTAGTAGCGGCTTCAGGTTATCAAGAGAAGGTTTGGTACCATACTTGTACCAACAAAGGGAAGGGATGCTCCAACCGGGAGGTTACAGATAAAGGAGGTTGCACCGTCTGGTTCGACGAGTACGACATGCTGAGGCAGGTGGAAGCACGCTTGCACACGGAGACCATCCCCCGTCTAATCCCTCCGAACTTTGCCTTGCCTCCAGCTATCAAGTCCTCCTTGGGTGGAGCGAAATACGGGGAGGCAGTGAGCAAGCAGGTGGTGAATGAAACAGTCGCCAAGCACGTAGCGCTCCTGCGACCAGCGGTGCAAGAATTGATTGATCTTGAACAGAGGG